GAGCTCACGGATCCTGCTAGTCTAACTAGTCAGTTCACCAGGGCTCCAGTTCTGCCTCCTGAGTGCTGGGACTGCAGGCAGCTGCCAGGGCTGCCTGCTTCTCTGTGAGTTTGGAGGATCAGAGCTTCAGTTCATCTTCTATGTGTGGAAAGTACCTTATTTACTGGGCCATTTCCCTAGTCCACCCCCAATCCGCTTGGGTTTTAAATTTTTTTTTATAGTTACCACTATTTGTAAAAAACACACCTCTCAGAAAAACAAGAGACAAATAAAAACAACCATTAATTCTTTCCAGTTTTAAGCTGTATCTACTGATATATTTCACTAATATTATGTCATGAACTATCCCAATACACATTTATTTTTTTTAAAAAATTGACACAAACCTGCCATGTGGACGGGGTCTAATGGAGACTGTGTCCCTTCCATATGGCCACCATGGGGGTAGTCTTGTGGGGTTTGGGGATGCATCTCTAAGATGCCTCTGAGCTGGTGAGCCAGGGAACCCAAGCTTCCCACAGCTTGGCTGCAGCACTCTCACTCAGCATGGCCGGAGACAGTGCAGTGTCTCTTCTGCACCTCTGCTCTATCTGAACTCAGCAGCTGAAGAGCCTGTCCTGATTCAGGAGGAAGAACAGGGTGTGTGGTGGTGGGTAGGCAAGGAATCTGCAGCCATCTGTAAGCCTCCACAACTTTCCACTGAAGAAAGTGAACTGGCTCCTCACCTGTCCCATCTCCCCATCCTCGCAATATGGTTCCAGAGCAGTAGAGATCCTCACTCTGTTTACCTTAGAATGCATGTAAGTGCTGTTGCCAGATGTGCCAGGTGACAGACCGGGGCAAGGCTTGCTTTCTTGTGCCATTGCTTCCCCACTCACACCCCAATACTTTTCTTATTGTCAGATACGGGTTGTTTTCAGTGTACTTCGTACCAATCTAATTCTGGAATCTGCCCACAACTTGACTTTCTCTGAGACACTTCACTTACCGGTTACCTTCTAGGCAGGCACCTTCTAGACTGGATACCTCATACACCTGGTGGTGCTGGCCTGCTCCTCAATCCTGAGCGCACGGTTGCTACTGTTTAGGAGTAAGAGACATAAAACAATCCGACTCCTCCCAGGGGCATTTGGTTAAGGGTTGAGCACTATTAAATACCATTAAGGTTAACGATGGGTGTTTATTCTAATACCTCTTTAATGTTTATTCTTCCTTTCTGACGGTCTTGCTACATACTTTTGTACATAGCCTACATTAGTATTTACTGTGTAGCCCAAGATGGCCTCCAATGCATGGCAATCCTTTCCTCCTCAGGCTGCCAAGTGCTGGGATTACAGATGTGAGCTGTCATGCTCAGCTATTTTTTTCTTTTTTTAAAATAAGTTAAGATGTTGGGAGGCAGGGGGATTTGACTGTAACTATATCCTTCTCTGGAACCTTGGGTTTAAGGCTGTTAGCCAAGCAGCCAGCTGGATGGCCCTCATGGTAGCTGAGATGCTTGGAACACTCCACAGACACCTTATGGAAGTTACATAGCATCCCCAGTTGGCTGCTGCTGCAGCTCAACTCTGGCCCACGCATGGCAGTCAGGTTCTTTCCCTTCACCATGTAGGTCCTGGGATTGAACTCATGGCGGCAGGGTGCCAGGTGCCTTCACTGGCTGGGCTACCTCACCAGCCCTTTCTTTTGTGTCTAGCATCTAGTCCTCGTTTTTCTGTGGCTCTTGTTTCCTTGAAAATGTCAGTGATAACTTAATTTTCCCCCGTGTGATCTGTTTTCTCCATAGAACTTCTTTTCCTATAAAAAAGAAGTTTCCTTGGCTATTTTTATTTACAGATAGGACTCCCAAAGTGACTAGAAGCCCAAGTACCCTAGGGACTTGGCAGGCTGATTCCCCAAGAGAAACCTGGCTGGGATCTCACTGGGGACCCGCTGCTGCCAAGTTTGTATTTCACAGGAGGCCCTCAGGGAAGATGTTTTCAATCTTCTGCCTGGCTGCTGAAGGCCTGAGGGCTGACTAGATCCTGCAGCAGAGGGGCTGTGGCTGTGGTGTCTGCATCTCATAGGGTCCTATGCACAGGAGACTTTACCAGGTCTGGTGGCCTCAATCCAGAAAGCCTCAGCTTAACTCTCCAATGATAGCTCTCTTGGCTGCTGGTGGGGGAACAGGCCAATTTATATACTACAGTGGCAACGTTGGCTGCTGTAGCCATCCTTCTCCACTCCCAGCCCGGAGCAACCCAGCCTTGCTGGATGCTGTGCAGTACTGCAGCTCAGCGCTTCAGCATTCTTTGCTGATGGCCTCGTACCTGCCTTTCTCCAGTCTAACAGGGACTGTTTGCTCCTCCTCAGAGTCCAGTGTAATATTCTCCTCTATTTTCACTCCCCTTGAAATGAATCCCTGAACACAAGCTCATTGGTGCCTTTGGTGGTCTTGGGGAGGTAGTGAGAGTGGATGTTTTGTATGCTTCAGAAACCAATAACCAATAACCTTTAAAGAGGGAAGTCCGGCTCTAGGCTCCTGGCTCCCATTGACTGCAATACCCACTCTGCCTACATGGCTTCTTCTAAGGCTCTTGAATTGCCCTGCATGCTCTCCAGAAGTACATCCTCTTCTCATGGTCCAGCTGTTCCACACATGGTCCCTCTTTCCACCTCACTGAGTCAACAATGCCCTATGGCTCAGCCCCCCTTCCTTCTCAGGCCAGTCCCATCCCCGGCAGGGGCCACCTCTGTCCCTGCTGCTCCCAGTGTGTCCATGCCACCTCAGTTTTGGAACACCGCCTACCCATTTGGATTTGGATTTGGATTTTGGATTTTTTTCCCCCTCTCAAGCCTTCCTCCTCTCACCTGCACTGCTCTCACTGGCTGTTTTAGTGGGTATCTGACATGGTGGTGCAGTGGGTATTCTCACTGGCTGGTAGATATCTGAAATGCCTCTGCCTGGCACCAGCTCCCTGTCTTCCCATACCTCCAGTGTGCTGTGTTCCAGCTTCCTGTGGGTCGTCATACTGGGCCCACTGAAGTCCTTGCCAGGGCTCTTTGCTAAGTAGGACTGTGGAGGGTGTCAGCCTCTCTCCCCAGGAGGGCAGGTTACAAGCTCCTGCCTTACCTCCCTCATCTATGCTGGGCCAACAGCATGCTCCATCTTCCCCTGGGAACATATTCATTGCCTGCTTCTGAGATTTTCAAGACCCCAGTCACAGAGTGAGATTGTGTCTGTTTTCCTTCCATGTGGCCCTGAAGGGGCCCACTGGAAAAGCCAGTGACCTGCTCTGTGCCCTATGCCTCAGCCTACAGTGGCAGGCAGGTGTCTTGGACAGCTGAATGAATGAGAACTTCTTTTGATGAGGTTTTATTTCTTGTCATCTCTTCTGCCAACAGTGCCCTTAGTGTGCGGTGCCAACTGCCACCCTGAGTGGTGGACAGACACAAGTCCCATCAGTGCACTGACTCAGTGATGAATGATAAACACAAAGAGATGTGACTCAGCTTGTGCTGCGGGAAGATGACTGAGCCACTGGGAGGTGACAGAAAAGGACAGGTGGGTCTAGTCCTGGCTAGGTGCAGACTGGCTGCACCACCTCAGATGGAGACCTGAAACTTCCAATTATCAGATAGGTTGGGGCAACTCAGGACTGCCATGGCCTCAGAGTTCTCAGTGACATGATGTCTAACCCGAGGGTGAAGCAAGCTTGTTGTAGAAGCTTCTAGTCCAGCACCTGCTCCCTAAGCAAGTCCATGCTGCAAAAATTTTCCTTACTAACTGGTCAGCTGCTCCTTGTGGGGCAGGGAGGCGGTGTCTCAGCCATCTTGTGTCTGGAGAGAACCCAGAACTCGGGCCACACAGCCTCCTTAAGGGTTCTGTGGGAGGCAGTGGAAGGAGGAAATGGAAGCCTGGGCATGGCAGAGCAGAGCAGAGCAGAGCAGAGCAGAGAAGCTAGATGCTTCTCAGATTTGAGGGACGGGCCTTTAGTCTGGAGATCCAGGACTGGGAAAGTACCAGAATCTTCTTTACCCAGATACTAGACCACCGCCCCTCACTGATCTCCATCCAGATCTGTTGTCTGGGAATGGGAACAGGAAGGACATTATAGGCGTGGGAAGATGAACAGCTGAAGACTGTGTGAGGCTGACTGGGCGCTGAGGAAAGCAAAGAGCCCAGGGCAGGTTGGGTGTGTCTTTGGCTCTCATCAGACAATAGCCCATCCTAGGGCTGTGATATCCTTGCAGCTGTGCCAGTCACTCATGGCAAAGAACCTGCCAGAGGAATCCACAGAATCTTCTTTTGAAGAAAATCACCATAACCATATCAGACAGGTCTGTTAATTCTGCTGCCACAGGGAACCTCACTGGAGACAGGGCCTTGGTCGCTTTGGTTTTCATCCTAGATTCTAGTAGCTTTTGAAGCCAATTTATACTTTTCCAGTTTGGTGAAAGGTGGATAGGTTGTGCCCAGTTCTCTAAGATTGCCTAGTGGTCATGAGGGTAGCATTTGCCAGTACCTGGGATGCTAAACAGGTGGCTGGGTCAGGTGGGATCTGGTGTGAAGTCCTCCTGCCCTCTAGAAGGCCTGCGTTTACCCATATTCATGCTAGGGTACAGGTTCGAAACTGCAGGTGGTGAGGTACCAACTCATTATCGCTGTAAACAGGGCACCGGGAGCTTTGGCCTGTGCTATACGAGAGGGAGAGGTGGCAGTCTCCTCTCACCACATCCCATGGGCTGGCAACAGAGAGGAAGGGTGGGGAGGGAGGGCCACAGCCTCATGCACAGAGTGACTGGCAGCTCCCTGCTGTGCATACTAATTACATTTTTAATCAGCTAGAAGGAGGCTGCAGCATCAATCTGCCACACATTGCTCGTGAATCACCCTGGAGCTGGCAGGAAGGTCCTGAGCTGATGACCCCAGCTCAGCTGTGAGGGGATCCTAGGGAGCCCCTTGCCCTTGGTACACAGCCACCCGGCTGCCATGCTTCCCCATGGCATCTACACAGACAGCAATTCACACTTGATTTTATTCCATGACACTGATTTGCTGAAACCCCCCATTTCCTGGGCAGGGAAGGGCAGTGGGTCGCCTGGTAGAAGCGCGGCTGCCTGCCCAGGAGGACTGGGATTCTCTTTGCTCAGGGAAGTACTGGTTAGGTCTCAGCATTCCCTGCCCTGACCCCTAACCTTCCAGTTCATTTAAAAACTGAGCTGCAAAAGTAAAATAAAATGAAAAAAAAAAAAACCCTGAGTTATTAAAAACCAAATTAAAAATCCCCTTTGGTGTCAAAAGGTCCTATTCCTAAAAGCCAGCAGGGTAGGGCAGGCACAGGCCTGGCTTGGGCTAGCATTCAGTCCTCAGGCTCCTCATCAGACTCCTTCTCCAGGTCCTGGGACTGCTCGGGGCCTGGTCGCTTCAGGATAGCACTGTACTTGAGAGCTGTGGCCTCTGCCTGCAGGACCACATCCACCAGGCTGAAGATGGTGATGACCTGTAGCAGAGCCAGGGACAGGTAGAGGATAGAGCAGGTGAGGGCCTGCAATCAAAGCCAAGCTGACCACTGAGGCTAACTTCCCCACGCCTCTGTTGCCTATCTGTAAATGGGAACCATGGGGTTGTGGGAAAACTAGTAGGCTAGACGGCACTATGTAGACATTTGTTATTCAGTGACCATTCACAAGAATCAAGAGAACAGGCTGGGCTGGGCTGGGCCAGCCTTTGGAACAAGAGGGATATAAGAAGCTTTTATCAGCTTCTCAAAAATTCTGAAAAGTTATGTTCAGGGGAGAGGGACAGCACCTATGTACCTATAGAGCAGCAGTTCTCAACCTGTCCTTTGAGACCCTTTGGCAAACCTCTATCTCCAAAAATATTTACATTATGATTTATAACAGCTGCAAACTCATAGTTATGAAGTAGCAATGAAAATAATTTAATGGCTGGGGGGAGAGTGTCACCACAACATGAGGGACTGTATCAGGAAGGTTGAGAACCACTGCCATAGTGGGTGTCCCCATATAGAACCTGGCAGTCTAAGCCAGGGCTTGGGCCTCTGCTGGGGAATTTGGAATCCCACAGGGGAGCCTATGGGGATGGGGAGAAGTGAGGGGCAGATGAGGGCCTAGGGGCATGTCTGAGACAAAAGGTGGGCTTAGGGACACAGTGGGGGACTGACCTGCTGTGTTGGCTCCTCTTCAAGGTCATCAGGCTCCCAAACCAGAGTAAGTTCTGGCTTCTTTCCCACCTTCTGGAAGTGGTAGGATCGCAGAGCCAGTGCCTGGGAGTGTGCACACAGAGCCTCAGGCTATGCACTTCAGAGGCCTCCTCTACCCTGGCCCATTTCTGACTGGGCGGAGGGAGCTTTGAACTGGCTGCCTTACTGCAGCTGCCTGCTTTGCCAGAGACATGGGCTGCCCTACCCCTGGTCCACCTCAGCCAGATTCAGGAGGTTCTGTCAAGTCACCTTTGGCCAACGGAGAACCTGAAGGTGACCCAGGACCAAGGGGCAACTTGGGAGGGTGGTGACTGTAGGGGAGAGAAGGGATCCGTCTAGGCTTACTCAGCTACCTGCTGGTAAGAGGTCTAGCAGTCCAGGTTGAGAGCCAGGTAACTAAAGAGCTGACCTAGATCTGAACTTCAGTCCTGCTCCATGAACCACAGGTGCCTGATGGTTCCAGCTACACTTGACCCTTTCCTGTTCTGCCTCTTTTATGAATCTTGTGTCTCTTCCAGTGCAGGGCTCTACAGTTCCCCAAGGGTATGTAAGGAGTTCAAAGCCAGTGGCAAGAGCCAGGTGGTGACTTGGTGACCACAGAGCAGCTAAAGTGAAGCCCCCAAATGACATTACAGAAGGCACCAAGAGGACTTTGAATAAATTGTCACCCAGGGAAGAAGCCAAGGTAGGATAGGCCTCTTCTTTCTCTTCGGGGACAGAATGTTCAGAGCAGTGCTGGCCTCTCCTCCCACATGTTTCTATAAGAACATCCCAGGTCCCACATCCTGCTATCCTGGTTATATTCTGAGTGCCTGGGCTTTTAGGAAAGGGTTCAGACTTGGCCCTTGGCCTGAGGTCCTGTCCTAGGCAGGCCTACTTGGGGTCAGGGGTCTGGACCCTTTATTGCCACATGCCAGTGATGTTCATGGCTGAAGGATGCGACCTGCAGGCCCTGCATAGCTCATGGATAGGGACAGCAGGGGTCTCAGTTTGATCCTACCATTTATGCCTGTGACACTATCATAGGCTGCCCTGGACCAGGGGCATATTTCCTCAACAAGGAACTAGACATTGGTGGGGAAACGGCAGGGAAGAGAGGACACTAAGTCCTTCAGGGTTTGGTTTTGCCTTAGGCGCATGCCTCCCACTCACACCAGGGACACTCACGTTGCAGTAGATGCGCTTCTGCACCCCAAAACGCAGCACCAGCACGTCAAAAGCTTGATTCAGGACACCCATCACCATGGCTTCAGACTCCAGGGGGCCGCTCTCCTGTAGGAACAATGCACCATTGCATCCTCCCAGGGAGGGCCTGCACTGGTGCTCCACACATAAGAGGTTAGGGAAAGGGGAAGAAGAGGAGGCCAGGCTGGACACTCACCTTTACTAGAACTGCGAAGAAGAGGCCGATACTGAGTTCCTGCACACGCTTGGAAGCCATGCGACGGTCATTGCAGTGGTCAGCTTGCTTCTGTAGGGTATCAGGCTCCACATCTGGCTGTTCACTGTATCCTGGGGGAGAAGGTGATCAGGGTTGCTAGTGTGGGTCTGAGGAAGGTTGTGTGCTGAGGGAAGTGCTCTGGGGCCAACTATGGTCCCAGGCTTGCAATCCATCTTACTAAAGCTTCCATCACCTGGGCGTGGATGGACAGTGTTCAGATTTAGGCTTCTCTGTCCCTTGGCATGTCCATGATCACAGTAATATGGTCACTTACTCTGAGAGTGGGTAACTCTTGACGAGCAAAAGTCTTCCCAGGCCAGAGTCATGTCCCTTACCCAGAGCAGCAGCCAGGAGGCGGTGCACTATGACGTCAGCAAAGCGGCGGATGGGAGAGGTGAAGTGTGTGTAGAGGGGAACGTTGAGAGCATAATGCCGGAACTGTGCCTGGTCCTGCAGCATCCCAGAGCAGAAGTACAGTGCCATCTGGAGGGAGAGTGGGACTAAGCCTGGCTGGGTCTGTTGGGTGCTGAGACCCAAGCCTGGCCCATGGCAAGGTTGATACACACCTCCTCTATACACTTTAGGCAGCTGATCAAAGCCAGCCAGATCCTTGGGGCCAGGGTCATTCTACCTAAGAGGACCTCAGCAGCGGCCATGGCCAACAGATGGTGATCAGACCCCTTCCCCACTCAGGATACATGCTAGTCATGCCTAGGGCTGCCAGGGCTCTATCCATGAGGGCAATGCTTGGAACAGCTCAGAAAGCTTTGCCTCTGTTGGGTATGGAAGCCCCCAGGAGGCTGGGTGGCCTCTAGCACTGTGGGACTAGCCAGCAGGGCAGCTGTGTAAGGGCTCTTCCTCTTTAAGGCCTATGGCTGCTGAGTCCCTACCAGGAATGATGCAGAAGTGTTGCTGGGGACCAGTTCTCCTTAGGATGGATCTGAGCAGCCACCCTGGGTCAACATGATTGCAGACAGGAAAACATACGGCCATGTTGGCCCAGGGCTGTGAATTGTCTTCTGAAGACACAAGCAGAAGCCGAGGGCGCTGCATGTCTGGCTAGCACAAGAAGATGCCAACCCCCAAAGGAGAGCAGCCCATAAGGAGCTCCTCAGCTTCTGGTTGAGCTGACCTTATTCCCTCTGGCCCAGATCTCTTGCCACGAGTACAAGTTCCACAGTACTCTAGCATATGTCAGCCAAGGGGGCAGTTTGTCAGCTTGCCAGCCTGCATCTGTTTGCTTCTGAACAACTGTCCCCGGTGATACACAGGTCTAAGAGACCTGAGCTGCTGTAACCCTCAGAACAACCTAGACAAAGTCTGGCCTCGGCCCTGCCATAGCCCTTGGAATCAGCAGCTGTTGACTGGAAGGATGTTCACTTCTTTGAAAGCTCCAGAGTGCCTGGTCAAACGACAGTCTTCTCTGGTTACTCTGTGTACATAGCCCTAGAACTCAGAGTACAGCCTCCTGCTGGATCTTGAGCTACAGCTGGGGCAAGTTGCTGGAGAAAGAGGGCATAGTCTTCATAGTAAGTCATGTCCTCAGAAAGGCTAGGGTGAGGAGGAAAAGGGGCCCAGGCTCCTTGGTCAGTGTAGCTATCTCTGGGCAGGGCAACAATACTGGCTTCTCTGCAGTAGCCAAAGACCACTGGGACAGCTCGAGTGTTCTGTTTCAGCAGCTCTCTTGGGAACCAGGCCTCACTCCTCACTTCTATGCTGCTGTTGCCATGCTCTGACCTGTCCCTGTCACTTGCTACTTAGTCCTTGCCATCAGAATCCTGGGGGTAGAAGCACCCCATAGGGCACAGCCACTGTCTAGGGTAGGTGGTAGGGTAGGGAACGGGCAGTGGAGATTGGGAGCAGGGACCAGGCAGTCAAGTCCCCAAAGGGCCCTGATGGCTCCATTCCTAGTAGAGCCGGGAGTTATCAGGAAATAAATCAGCTGTGGCTGGCTGAGGCTACCTGACTCTCATGAACAGATTGAATCTGCTGAGAGTGACTGACCCTTGAAAAATGGCCTGCCACTGCCCTGGCAAGTGCTGGAGCCCACAGCTGACCCCATTAGTACCTGGAGCTCCAACTGACCTGCCAATCTACTGAGATGGCTTCCATTTCCAGGATGCTTAGGCCCTGCAGGGACTGCAGTGTAGGGTGGAAGGCTGTGACCGGCTGCTAGGAGCCAGCCCATCTGTCTGTCTCATAGCTGTCTTGCTTGGGGACATGGGCCCAAGCTCATAGCAGACTGATTCTCCTGGTCAGATTGCAGCTACTATAAAGGCAGAGACTTCTTCTCTTGCCTGGGGTCTCTAGCAGCCAAGGCTATACAGCTCTTGAAGGATGGAACATGCTTTTCAGCATAGACAGATTTCTTTTGGAGCCCAGTGCCTGCCTGTCCAGGCGTGACTGCAGCTTCTCTCTATCCAGCAGATCCCAGAGCAGAGCAAGACAGTAGTGGGCTAGGTACACATGGTGCTTGTCAACCAGAGTTATGGGTACTACTGGGATCAGGGACTAGTGTGGCCTCTCCTTACCTGCATGGGCCGGGAGTACATGTTGGTAAGCACTTCTTTCCGGGCCAGAGAGTACTTGTCATCTCCAAATGTTTTAGTCAGGCTTTTCTAGAAGTAAACCCCAGAAACCTGTATGAGATATGGTTGGGCTTGGGAACAGGCTTGGGGATTGTTACTGCTAACCATTTGATCCAAAATTTGGGGAAGGTAGAGAGGGGTTCCCAGGCTGTGGGTAGTGTTGACTACCTGCAGGGTACAAGAGCTATGATCCACAGTCTGTGCCATACAATGGGCCTAAGATCTTCCAGCTCTCCTGATCAGAGGAATCTGCTGCCCACTTCACATCCACCTCCTCCTTGAAGCATGCGTGGGAGATGTCCTTTTTGTGGGATGAGCAAGGACACTGGTTCTACAGCCTCATAAAGCTTAGCTCTGAGAAGGGAGCATGTAAAACGCTTCCCTCTACGAAAGATTCCTTGCTTCCAGTCATCCTAGCTCAGCAAGGACCAGTCCAGTCTATGCCAGTAGCTACAACCTGAGTAGTCTCTCTTGGTACAGATCTGACAATAGAGCCTACCCCTAGTGGAAGTCATCTTCTCTGCTGCAGGGAGACCTGGCTAAACAGGAAGGGACTACATGGGGGCAGAGAAGTCACCACCAGTCCAACTTCTAGGCTTTCATCTCTTTTCTCCAGCAAGGCTTCCCATTACCTGCCCACCAGCACTCACATTTAGGGCCCCTGCAGAGCTGACATCCATGGGCAGCCCCATCTGGTCACAGAACTCCACCAGGTCACTGAGCATCTTCGTCTGTGGTGGGGGATGCCGGCGCAGCAGGGCCTGCTCAGGGAAGGTGCGGAAGATCTTGTGGGCCACTGCCATGTTGGCCAGGAGCATGAACTCCTCTACAAGCCTGTGGGGGATGGATAGTAACTAGAGGGACCCTGGAGGCAAGCGACACTGCCCCTGTCCCAAGATCTTTGCTCAGGTGGTTCTCTTACACCTTAGTTCTCAGTGTTAAGAACCTTCTTGCGACCAGATCAAACTGGTTCTTCTACCTCTTTCTCTTTCATCTCCATGCTCAGGTTTTCTCAGAGTCAACCTGTCAATAATGACTTTCACTTTTGGTCTGTGAATGTGTGTGTGGTCTATGTCCTTTCTCAATAAATAGGGATGCTTTCAAGTCATGCTTGGTCCAGAGATGGTACATAGAAAAGATCTCTGGTGAAAAGACTGGCAGGCTTCCTCTGGGGCTCACTTGTAAGAAGAGTTATCATTCTATTTTCCTTCACTTCAGTGTAATTAGAATTACTGTAAGTAACTGTACTCTAAGTACATGTGGATAAAGCTCTAAACAGGAAGATGAAAACATATCAAGGTCCTAGTGAGAAGTGAGAAGAGAAGCAGGAACTAATGGAAGACAGAGGAAGTGTGCCAAGACTGGGAAGCCAGGCAAAGCAGGAGATGGCATCAACCAGCCTTGACGATGGTTACCTGTATCTCAGTCCTGGGAAGGCAAGTCTCATGCTAGTCCCCCTGACCCTCGGGGCTCCCTTGGTGAGGTAAGTGGATTGACCATGAAGCCTTTGAGGAAGGAAGTGTACATCCTGATACTACTGTAGTCAGCCTGTCATATGTGGAAAAAGCTTGCTTCCTGGGAAGGCAAGAGTCATTAGAGACCTTGCTCAGCTTAGAGCAGATGCCCCAAGCTGCATGTCAAGCCTTAGGCTTCTTCTACGGAGGCAGCTCTGAGAGTTTGGCAGTGTCTGAGGAAGCCTGGGATAAATCCCTCTACTAGAGGTTGAGTAGTGTTGCTTGGTCAGGCCTGTCATCTAGACAAGCTCTTAGAAGGAAAATCAGACACAGAGAAGGGGAATGTTCCTCCTCCCAGACCAGACCTGCTGTGAAGCAGCTTGCCTCTGCTCTGTCCAGGTGCCTATTTGCAGAGCTTTCTCTACAAGGGGCTCAGTGAGGGCCCTACCAGGTGGGGTCTGGACATCCCTGGATCCTGTCACTGGGGCTTTGGCACACCTGGCTCCTGTCACTAGGGCCTGGGCATGCCTGGCTCCTGTCATGGGGACCTGTGCACACCTGGCTCCTGTCATGGACTCACTAGACTCAGCTCAGGAAGAGAAGCCTTTGTGTTGCCCACTAGTTTGTAGTCAGAGCTTTTCAGGCCATCACCCTCCATCTCAGTACCCAATATCTTCTTGTGCTTATCAGTATCTGCCAGTCACCATCACTGACCACCAACTCTCTGAGACACAGTTTGAACACTGGTTCTACCACACTCTTGTGGGATCCCTAGTAAATCACAGACTTCTCTCATTCTTCCCAAAGTAAGACAATGCTAACATCTGATCACAGGGCTGGTGCAAAGGCAGAGGGAACACGTGTTCTGGGCCAGATGCTAGGCAAGAATATCACTGTCCAAGACACAGTGATGCTTTCCTTTCTTCCCGCCCACCACACAAATGACTAACACATCTGATAATCCTTTGCCTTGCCTCAGCCTCTAGAGTTTTGGGATGCTCTTGACATTGTGAGCTTGACTACTCGACAGCCATTGCTATGGGGAGTCAGGCATGTTTCCAGGCCTTTTCTCTGTGCAGGCTCAGAAGAGCACACAGTCTCTTCCTTATAATCCCAGGTTTGAGCTAGGACTGCAGTTTGTAAGTGAGGCCGGCAGGTGGCAGCAGGGCCCCACACCAGGACTGTGAGGGTAAGGCTGCAGGAAGGCAGGAGCAGGGCTGGCCTGATGGCTCAGGATGGGGGCACTCCTCCATGCCCCGACCTACAGTTCAGAGACTTTTTTGGAGTGAACCAGACTCTTGGTCCACAGGAACTCTTCTGCTTTGTTCCTCATGAGCTCATGTAGGAAAAGAGAGATGGGTGAAGGAGGGCCCATTATGGGAAACAGGCATGAGAAGACCAGGCAAGTAGCTTCTCCAGTGACCATGACATTACTTCTTATCTTCCCCAGACATCTGCACAGCCTCTTAAGCTGCCCAAGACCTTGAGAAAAGAAGTGAATGTCTAACTCTGATCACAATCTGGCATGACTCTGGTTGCATTGACTGGCCTTGTTCAAGCACCTTGGTGCCTGTGGTTCCTATTTCCATTAGCAGTCCTTGTCCATCTGTCCATTCTCCACCCCCTGTCCACTTATCCTTCGTTTCCTCTCTCCCTCTGAGTTAAGACATCAGCCTAGGAATTCTTCACAACAGTTTGGCAAGGGCAAAGCATTAACTTAAACCCTGTCACCAACCAAGAGGACAGCACAGCAGATAAGTTCCCACTCCTGGGTGCTAATAAGGCTCGTAGTGTTCTAGGTGGCTGTGTGGACCATTTCCCCAGAACTCGACCTTAAAATCCTCTCAGGCCTGCAAGTGGAAAGGGAAGGAGCAAGCATGTGCACATCACACAGGAGCCAGCAGATGCTCTGGCCCTGGAGCTTCTGGACTCCCAGGATCTAGAAGATCCAGAACTGTCAGGCTGACACACGGCCACACCAGCAGCAGTCAGAGCTTCAGTGAGCTTAAGATTCCCGGTGGTGCCCATCACCCACAGAGGGGTGCACAGAGCCCTCCTTTCACCTGGGACGACCAAAGGCCCCTCTTGCTGGCACCTGTCTACCCTTGTGCAGTTCTCACAATGATCAGCAGGGGGCCATCAGACTCTTCCTTCCCAGTCCTGGGACGTGGCAAAAGCCACTTAGAACCCAAGAACTTCTCGGCCAGAACAGCCCCAGAGTTTACAAATTGTGGCCCAAAGTCCAGGGGTCCCTGGAGTCCCAGTTGCTGTTTCATTAGCCAAAGCTCCCTCTTGGGCTGAGGGTTCTGTGCAAACTGGTTGGCTGTGGGGTCTCTGGCAAATGAGCTTATCCATCTGATCTTTGCTCTCTTGTGGGGAAGGGGGCAAACTTCATACAAAAGCTTGCAGCCAAACTCAGATGATGCCCTGTGCTATCCCAGGGCAAATGGACCAGGCTGGAGCACATTAGGGACTGGGACTGAGAAGGTGGCTGCGGGTGTCTGGGTTGCCACGGCTTAGACTCTCCTTCTGGTCTGGGCACCTGCCTTCAGTCTCAGGGCGCCTCCTCCCCCAGAACAGCATCGCATAGGCATGAGGTCACTCAGCCCTGCTGGGGATGCGGAGCTAGCTGGAGCCCAGCAACTGCCTGACAACGGCTCTAAATAGGGGCTCAGGAATGGCTGGCAGCCAGGATCACCTTCCAGAACAGCAAGCCAAGCCCTCAGAGATGGGGACTCAGTCCCGGGCCTGGCATCTGCTGAGCATCTGGAACCCTGAGCCCCTGGGGCCCCACCACTCTGGAGGTCTTGGGTGGGACTGTGCTGTGACAGGAGGCTGCCAGCCAGGACATCATGAAAGGTCCGCAGCCCTCTCTCAAAGCAGTCCCTACCTGCTGCTGTCAGGGCCCAGGGAGAGAGGAGGGAGGTTTGCTGCTTCTCATCTCAGGAACAGCTGAGCCAGGGTTTTATGTCCTGGCAAGCAACAATCAACCTATATATAAGTACAAACCAGCGATCTGTACTAATACCACATAGAGGGAAAGGTTCATATATAAATGTTCACGAGCTGCCGATTTGTTATTACTATAGGCATTCTTTAAATGTCCTAAATGTGTTTATTATTTACTATTTACATAATTTTTTTGAGACTGTGTCTTTCTCTATGTAGGGTCTTTCAGACTAGCTTGAAACTTATGATCCTCCTACCTCAGTCTCCTGACAGGGATCAGACAGTGGCCTCTGAGGAAGGCAGGCATGCCAACAAAGCAGAAATCAGTGATCAAGTTCCTGGCCTTAAGTAAGTACCACACAGACTATAGTGTGTCTACCTTGGCCTAGCTAGACCTCCTTTTTTCTGGGCGCCTGTCCTGTTATTACTTTTTTTTTTTTTTTTAAAAAAGAGCAACAGGGTATGCAAGAGTTGCTTAAATGGTCCAATTCTAGGATCTGGGGTAGATCCCCAGAAACTTCTCTTGTTCTCCTACCACACTGTCGTCACTGTTGTTCAGGCCATCATCTCTTGCTACTCTGTTGCCTTCACACAAGAAAGGATCATTCCCTTCCAGCAGGAAGCACTGTTTAAGACTAGCAGTTCCTCTACCTGGTAAAACGATGTGGTATGTTTCATGTATGTTTGGACTGCGTCACTCTTCTTCCCTGACCCATCCTACTCTGGCCCTACTGAAGTCCTGAGGCCTTTTTGGCTTCTATCCTTTCATATTACTGTTCCCACAGCCCAGAGTACGAGGTCTGCTCTTTGCTCATGTCCTTTCTTTGGCTATCATTGGAAGATAGCATGAAGAACTCTCTCTTAGCAATCTCTTGGTCCCCATCATAGCATCTGGCCTTCATGACTGCATGGCCTTCATGGCCTCTCGGTCCTAGGTTGTATCTTGTCTTCATCCCTAGTGGTACATGTGCTAGTCCCAGAGTGGATGTTCAACAACCTGCACAGAGTGAAGGACTCCTGGGAGCAATGGCATCAGGCTCCAGTTCAGGAGGTAGGACTGTTGGGTCCCTATCATTATTGCCCTTTCTGTTTAGTTCCCAGTGCTTCGAACTCCCTAATACTCACTGCCAGGCATGCTGATAATTTGGGTCCACCAAGTCTCCTGATCTTGTCTCTACAGGCCCTAACCCATCTACTTCCCTAATATACAGCAGCAGGGTTATTTACAATAGCAATGGCTAATAGGCTTCAGCCTTTAGAGCTAGCTGTCCCTTTGCTGGATTTTTCACTCTTCTTTTCTAGCTGTGGCCTCACTCCACCCTGGGTACCACGTCTCCTATGGCCCCACAATACTCAGATCTTTCTGGTGGGAGGAGGTTAATGTGCACATAGGGAGGTGATCTGATCCAAGTCCTGTACCCCTAAGCATCA